TGCCATGGCAACATGCTTTGCCTGCTGTCCCTAAGGAGATCCAATACCTCCTGGGCTCTAGGATGGCCCTGGGCACTCTGCCTCATTAAGAGATGGACACTCACCCAGCAGCCTCATTAGCAAGAACTGGACTCCGATGGCAAACGACTTCTCATCCTGGTTCACCACCCTGTAGGGAAGAAGCCACAGGAGGTCAGAGGTGCCAGCATCGGCACTGCCTTTGGCCAAGCATCTCGGTCTGGTTGGCCCCATTGATCCCACCATGGAGAACCCATCGCATCACGCTTCTCCCAATGCCTTGCGCCATCCCCTGCCCATTGCTCACCGTAAAACCATCATGTAGAGGGGGTTGTGGGACAGGCAGGCTACCAGGGCAGCAAAGGAGATGAGGAATATGGCATGATCAGCTGAGCGGACAGGAGCCTGTCTTGGCAGAGGAGAGCCCGTTCCGAGCAGGGATCAGGGAACAGTTCTTGTAGATCTGTTGGAAAAGTTTGGTAAAGAAAAAAAACACAACACAAATGTAAAACTCTGGAAGCGAAGAACTTTGGTTTTTAGAGATGCACCAGACTGCGTTGCTTTGTGGAAGACTGACAAGAGCATCAGCTCCAATTTTAAGGCACAGCCATGGCATCCCACAACGGGATGCGCCACCATCCCCGTTCCTCCACGCAGACTCCCGGGCCGTTACCGCAATTCTCCGTTGCATCTTCCCAGCTTCTCCAGTAGACCCTCCCTCCTCCCCATGCCGGAAAGGCCCCACCACCTTACGACTTTTGTCAGGTGCCCCCTGCTTTGCCACCCGCTCACCGCTTGATTGGGAGCGGCAGAGGGGCGGAACTGAAATCCAAATTATTCGTGAACGTGAATGAAGAAGTTTTAAGAGAAAGTGTTAACGTTATGACTTGTGCATTGTATAGACTGAAGCGGGGATTAAACAAACTCCAAAGCATGCAGATCTCTCACTTACCACCATTTTTTTTAAGGGTATGATGAAGGAGGAGGGGAGGGGAAAAAAAAAAAAATAATAAATTAAAGAAAAAAGTAAAGAAATAGGACAGGAAGAATGAAAAATCCCCGTCCCTGTGTTTACTGGGATGGCGCCAGCAGTGAGCTGGTTGGCTGCCAGACCCCGACCGCCTGCAGGTACCAGCAGGAATTGTGTGATGTCTGCAGACAAGTCCTCACACACCGACTTTTATCCCCCTCCTCCGCACCCCGAGCTCAAAACTCGTCAGCCAAATGCCTGGAGAAACATCTCTGGGCTCCATCCAGACCGGCGCGAACAGATGTGCGCACAGCCCCAGCTGGAAACACCGTTCCGGCAGAAACTGGAAGCGGGCTCGCTTCCAGACAAGCCTGACGACAGCGTGGAAGTCAAGAGGACGAACTGAACTGTCTGTCCTGTCTTGCCTTACTACTCCTGCGGGGTCATGGTACCAAGGACCTGCTCTTGGGTGCGGTGGGATGAGGCAGAGCTCATGTTCACCCGTCCACGTAGCCCACAGCTGCCTGGAGATCCAGGCAGAAGGCGTTTATGCACTGTTGTCATTGCATGGGGGGGACACGTTTCCAAAATAATATAAGGCAATGGCCTCTTTTTCCATGAAAGTCCCTCCAGCAGCTCCCAGTTACATCAGAGTGGGTTACATCAGTTACTCTGGGGTGGGGTCAGATGAGGCCACGAAGATGATCTGAGGGCTGGAGCACCTCTGCTATGGAGGCAGGCTGAGAGAGTTGGGGCTGTTCAGCCTGGAGAAGAGAAGGCTCTGGGGAGACCTTCCAGCACCTAAAGGGGCTCCAAGAAAGCTGGAGAGGGGCTTTGGACAAGGGTGTGTAGTGACAGGACACGGGGCAATGGCTTTGAACTGAAAGAGGGGAGATTTCCATTAGATCTAAGGAAGAAATTTTTTACACTGAGGGTGGTGAGGCACTGGCACAGGTTGCCCAGAGAAGTTGTAGATGCCCCATCCCTGGCAGTGTTCAAGGCCAGGTTGGATGGGGCTTTGAGCAACCTGGTGTAGTGGAGGGTGTCCCTGCCCATGGCAGGGGGGTTGGAACTGGTTGATCTTGAAGGTCCCTCCCAACCCAAACCATTCTGTGATTCTGTGATCAGCAAAGCCCATCAAGACCGGTATGTCCCAGAGGAGCCAAGACAGGCAGTTGACCTGACGCTGGTGGCAAGAGGTGAACGCCGCGAGGCCAAGGTGCCTCCCAAAATGTAGCATTTGCAGCACCTGCACTTGAGCTGAGGGATCTCCTGCCATTTGAAGCCTTGCTCTCGGGCAGAAAGCTCGAGATGCCGGCGCCTCAGCGGATCTTCCGTACGCCCCTGAATGCGCGGCGCAGATCGGAGCATAAACGCGTCGCCCACTCGTGAATTCGCAGAGGGCTGTTGCTTTCCTTCCCCGTGGTTATTTAAGAGGCTTTTAAGTGGGAGAAGCCCATGGACCGCCATGTCCCTCACCCTTCTACCAGCCCTGGGACAGGAGGGCTTATTGCTGGTGAAGGGAAACGTTTGTACCAAAGGTCAACGTTTGTGCCTAAATGTCATTTTTCTCTTAAAAAGACACAGTGAGAACCAAAAGCTTCCACCCACGTGAAGAGAAAGGTGATGTCCAGCTGAAACAAAGGCAGGATGCAAGGTGGTCGTTGGTGAGGTTGATGTGGACACGGGCGCTAATGCTGCTGATTTCCCCCTAGAAATCCAGAGTGGAAAACACTCCCTGCTTGTTTGGTACAGAAAATAGGGAATAAATGTCCCCCCAAGCATTCTGTGCTAAGATCTCCTCCAGGCAGCGGGAGCAAGGAGTAACGTGGCCATGTCTACTGCCTCTTCCCCTCCACCTGCATGTATCCTACTCCATGGATGATCAAGGCAAGAGCCGGAGGAACAAGTTGCTGGAAACGACCCAAGAACCTGTGTTACCTGGGGGGGTAGATCCCATCGATGCGCCCCGTGGAGCAGCCCATGAAGAAAATGGGCAGGCAGATGAGGATGGAGAAAACGAGCACCACCACAGCAAAGCGGGGGATGGCCCGGAGGGAGAAGGCAAAGCGTTTCATGATGATTCCTCCTAAGAGCATCCCGAGCGCTGCCGCTGGCAGGTTCACAGCTCCTGCAGAGGAACGAAGGGATTAGGTGGGGCAGAGGGTGGAGGTAGAGGCTTTGTGGACCTTGTGGTGGTTGGAGAACCCACAGACCCCACCGTTACCCACGACAGATCAAAACCCAAGGCACCTATGAGAAACCTCAGCCTCAGGAACGTGGCTTAGAGAGGCGAGATCAAGCTCGGTGCGTCATCGCTTGCTCTTGCCAACTTCTCGAAGCGTCCCAGTGATCCAGCCCTGCTTCGCCCATCTGGTGGGGCTGCACGTTTTCAACGAGAGCCGTTGCGAGAGCCAACAAATGTAGACAGTCTTTGAGAGGCTGCAAGACAGCCTGGCCTTCTACAGCCATCTCAGATCAGGAAAGTCATCAACCATCTCGAGGTGATCCCTAGGTCTCATCTGAAAACGCGTTGCCAATGACTTTCTCCCACGGGATTAAAAAGTCTGGGGAATACAGGCAGGGGGCTCCCCCCCCCCGCCGATGGGTATTTTTCACCCTGTGGAAGCCGCTGCCCGGTTGTCCTCACCTATGAGAAAGTTGGCGTAGGAGGAGGAGGTACCATACTGCTTCTCCAGGAACTTGTTGAGGAACGTGGACAGACCCGCAATGACTGAAGAGAAGCTGCACTGAGCCAGCACCAGGAGGATGAAGAGAGGGTTGAGGAGCAGCCTGAGGAAGATCTTTGGGAATTCTACAGGGAAACAGCAGGAAAAAAACCCACGTTATTTCAGCCACGTGATCCTCACATCAGCAATTCGTACTGTGAAAAAAAACCCAACCCACCATTAGACTGTTCCCAGGGAGCTGATACAGGGGATGTCTAAGGCCATGGGAAAATGGAAGAGGAGACACCCTGATTTGGCCAGGCAGCTGCCAGGACCATGGCCAAAGCACCCCGAAGAGCGAGGCGGAGGGCCAGCTCTGCCCACCACCCTCCCTCTCCCATGTTTTCCAAACTCACGAGCCTCCGGAGCACGTAGCAGCCAGGGAACAACAACAAAAAAAAATCTGTTTTTCTGGAGCAGGGCCCATCCCCTTGGGTGGTGCAAACTGACAAAGACGCTCGGGTTTTGGCACAGCCCCACCGGCCGCGCGCGGGCAGGGTCCAGCTCCCGCACGCAGCGTGTTTTCCTGGTGGGACACTATGTCTCCTGCCCTTTCAGTAGAGGCAGACCGACTCCAGGCTCCTCAGGAGCAGCTCCGTTTGTTTGGTGGCTCATTAGCTTTCCCCTAATAGCAGGGAGTGCCGCGGAGAGCTGGTGTGGTTCATCAGACCCAACGAGATAGAGAAGAAGGAGCTGACTGCTCCAGGATACGACTGTGGAGGATGGAGAGGGAAGGAGGGAGGGGCTTTAGCTGGAAAGAAGTCATCATGGAGCTACAAAAAGTCATCAAACTGGTCTCTCTCAGCAGTGACATCCCGACTCGAGTCCGTTTCAGCTCCACATAAGCAAACCAGCGTAAGAAGCAGCGCGGTGACCTTCTCGAAGCGGTGGCTGGTGGGGCCGGCAGCCCCATGCCCTCTCCTGGAGCCGTGGGTTAAACCACCCAGCTAGCGTTTTCCAGCACGCTCGTGCCATTTTAAGACCAAACCAATCTTCAGGAACCATTTCAGGCCCCACAGACCTCAGCACCACTGTCTCACGGCAAGAGGGAGGCTGTGTCCATCTTCCCGCGCTCCTTGGGGAAGGGCACGCTAGAGTTCTTGAGGTGCCTGAGCTGGCCCTGGCATCTCCACGCAACGTGGTGGAGACACTCAAAGGCCCCCAACAAGCACCCTCAGCTTGGAAACGACGGCGTGGTGGCCTCCACCCACCCGGCATGGCCCGGCGCCCCCGATCGCCCTCGCCTTTAAGTGCCAGCCCTTTACTTTTTATAAACTCCAGCAGGGAGGTTTCTTCAGCCGCCCCCTTCTCCATCTTCCTGAGCATGCCAGCCTCCACCTTCAGGTCCTGGGGAGGGACAGAAGAGCAGGCTGCGGTGAGAGGAGCAGGGTCCGTCCCAGACGCCTTCGATGCCCTCCCACACCTGATGGTTCTCCTCACCATCACAGCAAAGGGGCAAATTTATCCCCAAAATCGCCGCAGCCCTCGAGCGGAGCAGCAGGACAAAAGCTTGTCCTGCTCGGAGAGGTTTTAAGAGCTTGGAAAGCTTCCCTCTCCTGAACCCTGACAATGCACCTCTTTTTTTAAGGCTGCAAAAAGTCTGAAAATGAAAGTTGGACACAGGTCAGCTGAAGTTTGGTGAGTCCCGTAGCTATAACCACGAAATATTTTGGGCTTGAGTTTGACTCAAAGAATCGACGATTTAAAAGAATTTTAAATCAAGAATTTTGAATCGACGATTTTAAAAGAATCGACGATTAAAACAATCTCAAAGCAAAATTATTTTTGAAACTATACCGGGGTGGGGGGGGCCTTGGTTTTGAAAACACTGAAACGAAACGTTTTGATGGTTTTGCATCTCTTAAACTTGTTTCAATGGGAAACTTGTCTCTCTTCTGCAATTTTTCTCCCCAAAGGAAAAGCCCATTTATCAAAGCTTTATCTCTCGTGTGTGCCACACTTGAGGATGCTCTGCCCCGAGATCATGAGTCACTCATGATGATGATGATGCTGGTGTCAGGGGAGCGTCACCTTCCAGAGGGTGTTGCAGTGGGGAATTAAGATACAGTTGTCACCAGCAGAACCAGGTCACACACCCGGAGGGTCGGGCCCCCACGGGCAGACCCCTACCAAGGAGGACCTCATGCAGGAACCCCAAGAAGCCGCCCAGCCATCACCCTGCCCCAGGGAAGGCGCAGGTCTACCCAAAACCTTCTTCCCAATGGATGCTGTCGATGCAGCTAGTGGGAAGGGCATGAGGTCTGGTTTTTTGGTCTGCTGAGCTGTGGTGGTTCTGGCTTTCCAGCTAATGATGAGGAAGTGAAAGGTTTGGTCCTTCACGTGTTAGAGGCACAGAGCTTGTCTGGAAGACTTGAGAAGCTGTAACCCCATCTGAGAAGGGTTGCTGGGCTCCCTTCCTCCCTCCCACCCCTCTCCTCCGGGGACAGGTATTCCCTCCCCCAGCGCATCCCTGGAACCAGGATGTTCTGGCCCCCCGAAGGTGAGGTCTCACCTCTCCTTTCACCATGTACCGAGGGAAAAAGAAATAAGGAATGGACGTGAGCACCAAGCAGCCCGAGGAGATCAGCAGTCCCAGCCACCAGGCTCCGATCCACCGCTGGTCCCTCGGTGTCAGGGCCACTGTAGCTGCAAGACACAAAGATCCATCGTAAGAGCTCTGCTCCTGCACGTCTAAGGGTGAAGGGGGCAAACGTCCACGCAAACGTGGATCGGTGGAACACAAAGGCTCCATGTGGGCAAAGTCCAAGGCTCTCTCCACTGCCATGGAAGAGCGAATGGGTGGAGGTGGGAGCTCCCACTGGCATTGGTAGCAAGACCAGCTTTGGTTGTGATTGAC